CGAACTGGTGCTGACATGGCGGGTAATTCACCGCCCCCACATGAGCTAGCAGCCCGGCGCGAAGACGCAATGGGTGGCAATTGCCATGAAAGAGCGGGAAGAATCCATCAAGCCAGTAGGTAGAACGTCCAGCACAGTGGACAAGGAGGGGGTTGACTTACGGAAGACGGCACGGGGAGCATCGTCACCGGCGAAACCGGCCTTGCACATACCCGAACTGAGAACACAGAAGTTAGTATAATCGAGCAAACCACAGCCTCGCGGGCCAGTCGATCGAGCTGTCCCAGTTTCTTGCCATAAGCGCCAGAGGGAGTGGGCAAGTAATGCCAGCGAGATTCCCAGTCAAGTTCATCTTCGCGACCAAGCCCCAAAAGGGGACATATGTTTTGCACCATCTCCCCTGGACTTGGCGAGAAACCACAACAAGCAGGACGAATCCATCGCCAGAATCATCGAAAACCCAGAGTAACATACCCATTGTCAATGACGAGAGCAGCAACTTCCTCTAGATGGTGGAAAAATTAGATGTTAGCCAAGTTGTAAAGGTGGGCGTTGAGGGGGGTAACGGAGGGGGGAGGGGGAGCGAGCAAGCTTGGGAAGCGAGCAAGACGCAAGGTGGCAGGAAGCCCTTACCTTCCATGGTGACTGTGTGGGATTAAGAATCGGACTACGGGGAATAAAAAAAGAGACGAAGAGAAGAAAGAGAAGAGTGAGATGGAGATGGAGATGGGAAGGGAGGAGTGACGGGAAAGAGAAGAGGGAAGTAGTAAGTTCAAGAGAGATGGGATGAGTTGAGGTAAGTAGGTTGGAGAGGGAGGAAACGGGGGGAGGAGTGGAAAGTGATGGAGGCCGTCGGGTTAGTAGGGAGTCGGCGGTGGTGGAAAGCAAGAGTGGGTGCGGGTTGGCCTGGTTGGGTTTGGTTCAGGTTGGGTTTGGTCTGGTTTGGTTTGGTTTGGTTTTGTCTGGTCTGGTTTGGTTCTGGTCAGATTGACTGGTTGGTACGTACTCAGTAGGGGGAGGGGGGGGTGAAAGCGATAGTCAGTCAGCACATACTAACTTCGCTGCTGCTCAAGTATCTTAGATAGTAACTATATATGATCGGTCAATTAGGGGCGAAAAAAAGTCCAATTTTAATTAATGAAGTCTCCAGTAGGCACCACTTCTACGAATACGGAGTCACGGATGGAGGAAGACAAGACCAGGAAACCTGAAAGGGGAGAGGCAATACACACCAGTCAACGTTCTTCCAACCAGTCTGGAAGGTCCCTTTTTTACGCCAGATACACACCAACTTAAGGGGGAGGGGGAATGACTGCGAAAAAGGGAGAGGTTGGACTGGATCAGGCGGGGTGAAGTGGATCCCACTCTAGGCTTTTCCGAGTCTAGTCCGGGTGTTTCGGCAACGTTGATTGCACCGCCGGGAGCACTAGTGCCGTTTAGTCCCAGTGCTGTCACCGCCACACTTTCACGCCGAGTACCGCTCGTCAGGTAAGCGGGTAATTTAATACACTCAGGGCGCTAAAGGGGGACCAGAACGTGTACTTGTTGCTAACGCTGAGAAGTACTATCTGGCCGGAGAGAGATAGAGAGATCTGATGTATGTATATCAAGACAATTTAGAGAACGAGGGAAGAGATAGATAATGGTGGTTATGGAAGTATGCATTTCCGTGGATGTACTCTTCCACCATTGTTTATATACACCCAATCTGATGTCAACCTTCCCACCATGGTTGCCTCCAGGCAGAATGATTGTGGCCTTCCTACAATCAATCAACTTGTCTTCCCTTACTGTTCCTCTCACCCGAACATTCCGTTGAGGTGGCCCTTCCAAAGGGCTGAGAAAGAGCAGGCAGGAGGAAAACCAGAAGGAGGGAAATAATAATCACGATGGCAAAAACACTTGCGCACCCTCGTGGGGCTGAACCCGACCCAGGGTTGCCGCCGTCAATGGCTCAGCCCGAATGTGTACCACTGAACAAGGTTGGAACAATAATAATCATGGCCCGATGATGATGATTATGATAGTGATGATGATAGCCTACAGCGTTAGCTTACCCACGACTGGATAATAATAGCACTGCCCGCCTTGGAGCCGACGGGCCAGGGAACAACCAAGAGCTGAGAATGGGCGATGACCATAGCCCGACCGGTCCAAACTTCAGGCTTCTGGATCCTTCCCCCCCATTCACTAAATCTGAACCACTTGGTCTGTCCGGCTTTTTAAGGGGTTCGTACTCTTTTGCCCCTCGTTCGTGTCTCCTTAGCCTCTAGCGTGGCCGTTTCTTATCCCTGAATTTTGTATCCTCTTTAGTTAATAATGCAATTGCCTGATCGTCTCCGTGTCCGCTGTTCTCTCCGTACTCCGTCATATCTGTAGTATCCCTAATTCCACGTCAGGTAGAAATGATCGACTGATGCCCTTCGATTCCGGTCAATTCCTATGCGCTGTCAGATTTCTTTACCGCCGTTTTCCCACCGGGCCCCCGAAAATGGGGACTTCGAAGAAGAAAGCCTAGCCAGAACTGATGCCCGCCCCATGGAATGTCAATCGCATAAGGGCCGCGTTGATTCTTCGTAAGCCGATCTTCATTGGTGGTGCAGACCAGTGAAGAATGCATAGTCATCCAACGGCATCCTCGTGCCACGCGCAGAAATGTCTCGGTCGGTGAACAGCAGCCAGAAGTCACTGCATATCGGGCATGTATGACCGCATCGCGGGGTTATCCGAGCATGGCGGGGTACACTGCAGCGCCGCTGGCTGGTCGTGATTTGATCAAGATAGCCAGCTTTACAGAGAAGATACTATCGGTATGAGGATCCAAGCAGATACAGCATATGGCTCTGTCAAGTAAAAGTAAATGGGACAGCAATTGTTGTCCCCTTCACTCGCAGACTTTGAGTGTCAGCGTTGCGGTGGAAGGAGGTGGAAGGCCGTCGGAGCCGCATGAACCCTCTCGATTCGTCCAGAACGTCACGCTTTTTCTTTACCTTCATAGAACACCGGCGCATCTTTTTGCACAATCACATCCACCACCATATTCGTGCTATAGAGATCATTTCATAGTGATTGATACAATCCACATAATCTTACTTTCTGCCTATTGTCCTTTTTCAACAACCCTCAACCGTCATCTAGACACCTCACCACCTCTAACACAAATTTTACTCTCCACCACCGAACCATCCCCCACATCAACACCATGGACCCCAACATGAACAGTCTCCTTAAATGGAGTATCAAGGCCGCTACCGAGGAGCAAGCCTCCGGTGATAAGAACGACTCTGGCAACAATGCCCCCGCCGATCCCTCCCGCGGCCTCACGCCGCAGATGCTCTCGACGCTATTCGGCGGTCCCTCCGAAGCCGACCTGATGAAAGCCGCCATGGAAGCCCTCCGCTCCGATGAAGTCGACCTGGAGAACAAGCTGATCGCGTTTGACAACTTCGAACAGCTCATTGAGTCGATCGATAACGCAAACAACCTGGAGCCTCTGGGTCTGTGGACCCCTCTGGTCGAGCTGCTTGACCACAACGAACCGGACATTCGTCGCATGGCGGCGTGGTGCATTGGTACGGCTGTGCAGAACAACGAAAAGTCGCAGGATAAGGTATGTTATTGATGTCTTATTTGTCCCCTTTCTGTTGAAATTCCAAACAAAACTAACACATATCCCACAATAGCTTATCGTCTTGAACGCCCTTCCGAAGCTTGTCACCATTGCCACCACGGACACCACTCCCGTTGTTCGCAAGAAGGCCGTCTACGCTATCTCTTCGGCAGTCCGCAACTACCAGCCCTCCATGGACGAGGTGACTAAGAGTCTCCCCGAGGGTTACTCTCGTGACAAGATCGACGCCGGAGACATGGATGCCGTCGATGCGCTCATGGACAAGCTCCGTGCTCACAAGGTCGAGGCTTCTGCTTGAAGAAAAGTCAAATCGACATATGTGAGATGTACTGTTGATAGGATGCTGTAGCCTAGCGAGCCTACTTCGTCGTCATCTGGCTAGCACGTGGCCGATGTCAAGAGCAGAGCCCTCGAGGCATACGTGCATTGCGCGTATACGTAGGGATGATCTTCCCCGGTATGATGTGGCTGGGCTAGGCAGTCGACTTGGACAAAGTTGAGCGACGATTCTGGCGCAATGATGGCATGCCGTGATAGGCACCCGCCACCATGTTGAGGCTCACGGTTCAGAAGCTATGGGAGGGTTCTCACCCCACTTGATCCGAAACAGATCAGATGGAACATGGTGCATAGCTAGATGCGATTTACCGTCCTTGGCAGTCCACATGGCTGCCTGGAATTAGATACCCTGCGCTACTTTGATATGACATGCGCCCTATGCCTATGCCAAGAAATATATAAACATTAAACATGATATCACTTCATTGTTACAAATATAAACATTGGATGCCTGTAAATCATCTTCTTAAGATAGGATAGTTTACTTTGTTGCCTGGGTTCCCCATCCATAGCTAACCTTATCTTGGCAACGCGTGTACTAGGCTCCTGCTGTAGTACATTAGAACCAACACCGGAAGTGATTATATGGATGCCTATTATCAGATTCCGCAAAGGAACGTCATTCTACTTTCAGTGAACTACAGGAAAACTCCAATTCTCAGAAAGATATCCATAATCATAACTTATAACAAGCATGCTAAAAAGAGAAGGAACAACTACCTAATAACCAAACAAGCACAAAATGCAGACCACTCAATGCGGACATTGCTTTATACAATAACACGACAACCCTCGTAAAGAGTAACTGAACTCCATGATTCCATCAAGGAACGAGAAGTAATAGTAAAGACCGACCACAAAAAAGGAAGCGCACATTCATAATACAATAATACGTCGCGGAGTAGTAGTAAGTATCGCTTTCGTCTCATACCAGCCAATCAATCAATCAATCAGTCGACAGAAGAACAGGTACCACGACTGAACACCTGATAACCATAGCCCATTTCATCTCATATGGTATATCCATCCATCACAGAGCAAGGTTGTAGGTGTAATCGTCTTCTATATTCTGGGAGATCCATAGGACGATGGTGCTGTAATCGCAGAGTTCATTAGCAAGACTGTTCATGCACTGCTTTTTCCCCCAACAAAAACATATGGCAGAATACACACCTCAGCATAACCAGTCCATTCGCAATAACGTTCGCAATACCAAAGTAAAGTGTCGGAAGGGGATATCCCTGGATCAGGTACTTGAGTACCATGACCGTCTATATTCCCATCAGTTAGCCATTCCACTCCACTCCACTCGAGCAACCCCAATACCCCAAACAACATATAATAGAGTAACAAGGTAGGGTAGGTATGCAGGTAAATACTAACCACACTCCCAGCCAATCCACCCGCGAGCAACGCAAATCCCAAGAACAGCACAAACCTCGCCTTCCACGCGACCCCACTCCCACTATAACTGAAGCTATCGGCATGAAGACGCGACTTCTCAATCGAATTGATAACGAGCATTCCGAGCGCGGAGCAGATACCGGGAATCCAGTCGACGAACTTGACGTGCACGAAGGAGCCGTTGCGGGCGCTGTGCGAGAAAGCGGCGGCGTCGATGAGGAAGAAGAAACCCAGGGAGAACTACTGCCATGTGAGTGGGTTGTGTTGTTTGATGGTGGTGGTGACGATGGGAGCTTGCTTACCAGTGCGCCGGAGGTGTAGACGCCTGCGTTGCGCACGGCGGAGTTGTTAAGCCATTCTGGCTTAGACCAGCGGAAAAGACGGTTGTTTGAGACGTCCATTGTAATGCGGGTATATTATGAGTATGTGTGAGATATGATTCCGGGAGATGGAGTGTGTGCCAGCACTGAAGATGGTATCACTGTATGGCTGGATCGGCGGGTTGGTTGGAGCTGTTCGGGGAAGCCGGCGATGATGCAGTGCCGGGGCCGGAAAATCACCTGCCCGATCTATGCTATCTACTATCTACAACTCAATGTCAGAGGGAATCTGTCATGCAGTGCTTTTGGTTGTATATTCTACATATTTAATCTTAAATTCACATAAAGTAGTATGGTATGATTATTCCCTTGATCGTGGCATGTATACCATGCTGCGACGAGGCGGTATACACCTTAGGTAAACATTGATAGTTTCCTGGCTTCAAATAATATCGCTATGCTATATACTTCGTAACTCATCACTCGTTATCTGTGCCAGACAGACTCAATTCTCCTCACAAAACAGTTTCAAAAACTCATCGATGTACGTCATTGCCTTCCCCTTCTCCAACAGTGGTGGCTTATTCGGCGAGCCGTCTTCGCCTGGAGACGGCTCTTTCAGATACTTCCGCAGTGCAAAGGTCGATGCGCGATAGGTCGCATGGTACATGGCCTTGAATTCATCTTCATCGGTGTTGGAAATATCCTCCCCATTTGCAGGGGCCATATCGTGGCTACCGGTCCCGGTTTGCGGCCTGCTCGAGCTCGCGGAGCGCGCTGTAGCACGGTTGAAGCCATAAAGCCGCATGCAGGTCAGGATCGTCCGTGTTATCGTGTTTTTGTTCTCGGAAATGATGGTTTCTGCATCCTTGGGCGCAGCTGGAGACTCAAGTTTCCCTTCAGATGGTAATTCCGGGGACAGTTCTCTTTCCTTTCGTAATGATGACTCCACAAACGGGTTTGGCGTGCCTCGCCGTGAGTTCAGTTCGCGCACGTAGCCCCGTCTGCTGCTAGGCCGTGACTGCTCCGACCGAGCTTCCAGAAGTTTGGAGTTGAGATTCGCCCCGATAGATACAGACCGGGACCGTTGTGAGGCGATCCGGTCCAACTGAGGAAGAGAAGGCTCCTCTGACTCTCGTTTGACCCGAAGACCTTGCAATTGCTGGGACGACTGGGAAAGTGATCGCGCCATTAATTGCGATACAGCCTCACCTCCCTTCTGCCGTACCCTTTTATGATGCTGCGCCACTGATTCAAAGAGCGTTGCTACACGTCTGCGCTTGGGGCTGGGCGAGCGAATGTCCGGAAGGAACTGAGGGGATCGGCCGTGGCCATCGGTATCTTGTGGAGATGGGAGAGACTGAGTTTTGGCAATGAGATGTGCAGAGATCGGAGTGGCGTATATTCTCAGTTCTTGTCTAACAACATGGGACGGCTGGTGGTCTAGCTCCGGTGAAGAGACAGGCGGGGTGGGCGGTCGTTCATAGGAAGTCGTCATGGACAACATCCCATGTATCAAGAGATCGGTCGTGTTGGTTTCAGAGGGCTTTGTCCGCCCATCATTGTCAATCCCCACGAGCAGCCCAATTGGGCATTGTAGGATCTGGATCCGATCCAAATCATCATCTTCCAACCAGATAGTGCCCGTCAGCTTGTCCTTCAGCCATTGCGAGGTCTGCGGGCTATTCGTGTGGAGTTCGAGGTTGGGACCACATCGCGCATAGAGTGGTATGAGGGACGGGTTAACGAAACAGCGAAGATTGAGCGCGGAGTCTCTGCCAATGTCGGATTGCCAGTTTGACGACCGGTCAATTAATTGTAGGCCTAGCTTTGGTGATGAATAGGGCGAATGTAGCCAGGTGGTTGGCGGGGCTCACCTTGGAGTTGTGTGCCTCCATCCAGCGATATTGTGCCGGACCATACATTCATGTTAGAAGGACGAGGGATCACTCGTTCACATATTACTCGTACTTGTGATGATGTTATCAGATCATTGTTGGATGTTCACTCACCAGTCGGCGCGGGTAATTTTACACGACGCGCCCAAGGCGGCGCGCCCCCACGTGACCGGTATCTAGGCACAATTACAGAGCGGAAGACATCGGCATCTCCAAAGATAAAGTGAAGGAGACGGAGGTATGGGTTTATGCATCTGGATAAAGGAATGTATCACACTGCACTGGCAGAGTTTCTATATAACCTCGTACTGGCTATAGTACATCAATCGTATCATTGAACAACGAGAGTAAAATCAACAGCGACTCCCGGGGCATCAAAAAGCACATCAGTACGCCTAGCATACGTCAAATCAAAACGATGTCTCATAAAGGTGCATTGGTCAAGAACATGGAAGGCGGCTTGCTTCAAAAGGTCGATCAACAATCTGCGAGCGGGTATCCAATGCGAAATCTGGTCTTGCAGATATCGGTGCGCATGGCAATTTAAAAGTCTTCCTGTTCCCTGAAGAACATGGAGAAACTGATGATGGTTCCGTAGATCAACAGACCGCCAATGATGGACATGATCATGGCGGGGATCTCGATAGCGCCGCTGTGCGCAAGAACGGCGGGGAGGGCTAGTGAAGCAATTATGGTCAGCCGTAGATCGAGAGAGTCAGGAAAAAACAAGGGCATATATCTCCAGTCGCAGCACAGTCTGCAGTCGCTTTCAATGGTAGGGATGAATGCGACCGCCGACCTGGCCCGCCTATCCGAGAAATCCACTCACCAATACCCATCAGCACCAGGAAGCCCGTCAGGAAACGACCAAAATCAGCAGCAGCATTGCCAGAGCTGTCCATAAAATCATCGGGGTTTGCGCATCGCGAGCAGATCCAGTTGGGCAGGGGAGCAACCACGTAAGTCGCAACGACGACCAGTGGGAGGAAGTTGTGCCAGAGCGCCGATGACAGGATAACAAGCAGGAAGCCAATGGCGAGAACCTATGCCGGGATTACAATTAGCAGGAGTCCAAAGCAGCAGAAATAAAGAAGCTTCATTCTAGCTCCCAAGAAGACATACAAAGGAGAGGGCGATGATCGTCTTGAGTCCAGCGGTCATGATTGCGGAGTAGGACTGTTCAGGTCCAGGACAACAGGCAGAAGTGAGAGGAGCTTCGCACCAACGAAGCTTGACTGGTAAAGCTTGTGGGAAAGATAGCAGAGTCCAAATAGCATGGGTATTAAGACGGAATGGCGACGAGAGGAGCACCGCAAACCGAGGACGGCCAGAGCCTGGATGAAGCAGGAGATTGGAATGGAATGAATGGATGGAAGGCAGTGACGTGCAGCGGAAGTGGATGATGGGGCGGGCGGCCTGAGGCAGCGGGCCAGCCAAGCAGTGAGAGCTTAGCCTTAAGCATGAGTTACTCTCAGTACTACCGCGTCAGTGCTTCTCTGCCTGCCCTCCAGCTCCATATCTCTCTCCCATCCACTCCTGCTCCCTACTTCATCGCCTTGATTCCTCTATTCCCCCCGTTGAGACTCAATATACTATCTGGTCTCTTCCATTGAACTGACAGAGACCCCTATTCACCCCCCTTCCGAGTCTCTCTACCCAAGCTTCCGCCATGTTCAGAAACAACTACGACAACGATGCGGTCACCTTGTATGGACCTCCCCAAGCTCCCTCATCCACCAGAACAAAGCTTTGTCTTCCCTAGTATTTTCAGATTACTAACGAAGCTCTTTACAGCTCCCCGCAAGGCCGGATCTTCCAAGTCGAATATGCACAAGAAGCCGTGAAGCAAGGTTCCGTCGTGGTGGGACTCGTCAACAAGACACATGCCGTGCTGGTCGGCCTCAAGGTTCGACATCCCACTTATCTCCTGGCTCTTTTCTCTCGGGGCACATCCAGCTGACAGGAAAATTTCCAGCGTAATGCCGAAGAGCTCTCCTCGTACCAGAAGAAGATCATCGAAGTCGACTCCCACATGGGCATCGCCATCGCCGGTCTAGCATCGGACGCTCGGGTGCTCTCCAACTTCATGAAGCAGCAGTCTCTCAGCTCCCGCATGACCTACGGCCGCCCGCTCCCCGTCGACCGCATTGTCAGTCAGATCGGCGACCGCGCCCAAACGAACACTCAACATTACGGCAAGCGCCCCTACGGTGTCGGTTTGCTTGTCGCCGGTGTCGATGACTCCGGCCCGCATCTCTTCGAATTCCAACCTTCCGGTATGACCCACGAGATGGTGGCATGCGCCATCGGAGCCCGCTCCCAGATGGCTCGGACCTACCTGGAGCGGAACCTGGACAAGCTGGAGTCCACGTCGCGCGATGAGCTCATCACGCACGGCCTGCGGGCACTTAAGGAATCCCTGTCTCAGGACAAGGAGCTGACGGTGGACAACACATCTGTGGGTGTGGTGGGACTTGCGGGCGACGGTGCCTCGGGGAAGATCGAGAGCTTCAAGCTGTACGAGGGGCAGCAGCTGGTGCCCCTGCTGGAGGCACTGGAGCAGGCGGATGCGGGCGAGACGAAAGAAGAGGAGACAATGGAGGTTGATTCATAGGAGCAGCAAGATGCAACAGATACATCATTGATTTGATAGTCACGATTCCGGAATAATATCACGTTTCCCACACCTGATACCATCTATATATATAACCTAACTCGGCTTGACCACATCTACAACTAACCTTGCTACTAACCACTAATGACACATCACCTATTCCTCCCCCCAATTCAACCTCATCCTCCCATTACTAACCCTATACCCCTTCAACCTTGGCCAAACATCCTTAACATCATTCACCTCGACGAGAATCCCCCCATTCTCCTCCCCAATATACCCCTCCTGCACGGCCTTCCTCACCCACGCCAACACCCCATCCCAATACCCATCCACATTAACCACCACCACCCCAGCCCCATGAATCCCCAACTGATTCCACGTCGTCATCTCCATCACCTCCTCAATCGTCCCGAATCCCCCCGCCAACGCCACAAACCCACTCCCAGGCCCTCCCTCCTGCACCTTCGTCGCCATAAGCCGCTTTCGCGCATGCATATCAGCCACGATCGTGGTCGTCCCGTACTCGGATTCCTTGAACATAGACTCCTTTGTCTTCGCAGTAGTGCCATTGGTAGTGGTAGTAGTACTAGCGGCTGGGATGATTCTTTCCGCGTCCTTGCCGGACCGCGCTTGCTGGACTCCTGCATTTGGGTCTGTGTCTGCGGGATGCTCCGTTGCATTGTCGTACCCCGGTTCTACCTTTACTAATGCGCGCGGGATCACACCGTGCACGGCTTGCGGGCCGGAGAGTTTGACCAGTTCACGGGCTATCGTGCCCATTAGACCTGCTGTGCCGCCGCCATACACGAGGTGGATGTTGTTCTTATGGAATTCGTGCGCGAGTTGGCGCGCGGCTTCCATGTGGCGGGGGTTGGTGCCGGAGACGGAGCCGCAGCTGTAATGGGTTGGTTAATTTGATAGATCATTATATTGGTGCGTGGTGGTGGTGATGGTGTGGATTTTAAGTATAAGTATGAATGCGGGGCGAGGCGGACGAAACACTATATAAATTGATATGATGATATATTGGTGACTTACAATACGCAGACCACTGCGGGCTTAGTCCCATTCACGGAGCTCATGATGTCGTTGAAATTGTTGAAACTACTTGCTACTGATGAAGAAGACACAACGCTCGCTCTTGTCGCTTTTTCAGAATGAAGAGGAGAAGTTCAATGGGGGGTTTGCCCCGAGCTCAACGGTTTAAGATGTCGGTGCAGTGATGTAACCGATTTCTTGAAGCTGCGGTTCTGGATCCGAATGCGGACAGACTGCACAAAACATTGGGGAATAAAGTGGCGGTAGTAGTCATGATGGGGATGGAAATCTTAGCTGGATTATAATAGCATGCGAGTAAAAGGAAGGTTTGCAGTGAGGATTTGATATGAGTCAGAGATACTTGTTGACTGTCACTGGGATTGGATTGGGTGGCCGGAGGGGTTGCTTTGCTGTCCTTGCTTAGTTACAGAAAAAGGTCTATAGAGATAAGCTGGAAAAAGAAGGAGCTGATGGCAATAGCCAGCTGCACTTGTAGAATGGTTAAGAGATCTAGCTATCCATGTCTAGAATGGAATCGGGATGAGAGAATCCTGCTCTCATGATCATTAGGGTATCATTATTCTGTCCTTCCACTTCAACTGCCAACCTTTGTTTTCTTCTTCCGCATCTTACTCTCTTCGGATCCTGATGGCGTCGCCCCCTTCTCTGATACCTTCCCTGGCGTATCAACCCGGACCTGCGGCGTTCCAACCTTCGCGGCAGGGGCTGGTGGTTTCGCTGCTGATGTTCGGTCTGTGTCATTGACACGGGATAGGATGAACGATCCCGGCTCTCCCACCAACGGATGCTCGTCCATAAACTCCTCCCCATACCTTCGGAGCAGGTTGAATGACTCCGCGAGTGTCCGTGTGTCTTGCAGGCTGGAACCAGTGCCGACCACCTGTGAAGAGCCAACGAGCGAGGGCTTGCCAGCTGCATCGGCGTCCGGTAATGGGGTGTTCTCCTTGCTCTGCTGCGACTGCGTGCCAGGTTGACTTGCATCGGCTTGTTTGAGCGCAGGCGGCATGTAGGTATGGCCGTGGGACGGGGTGAAGGTAGGCAGTGTAGATGCTGTCTTTAGCAAGCTGGTGAGAGACGTAACTGCGGACAGCTGCGCAAGAAGTCGGAGTTAGCATCAGCAATAGAGAATGACTAGGAAGCAAAGGCACAGGAAGAAATTGACGTACGATGCGATTCCCCACAACACTCGCAACCGAGGGGGCCATGTAGATGCAGTCTCCGACGATAAAGTACGTTGATAGAACTACCACCTCATCTTCCAGGCCGGTCCTCTTGCGCCGGTTCTGCTTGCGAATCACCCAAATGTTTGACGGCTCGTGCGCAAATCGACCATCAGGTTGTGCTGCTGCCTGGATGGGATCATATGAAACCACGAATTCCAAGCCCTGCATAGTCTTTAACCGGCCCTCGAAGGCCTCGCGCGTCTCGACAAAGTGCCGGAAAGCTTCATTGTAGTTTGCTTGGATGGCAAGTGAGGCGTTGTTGGATGTTGGGTCAAAGAATGGCGACTCTGCAAAGTAGAAAAGAACTGCGCACACATTAAGAGTATTAGTAGGCCGTTTTAGTCGTTAATGGGTTCTGAATTTCGTACTGTTGTTGGAGTGGAGGTATCCTCCCATCATCTGGACGTGGGGCGGGGACCGCCAGAGGATTTCCTCCATGGAGGCATCGGGTGTGCCCGCCATGAGATCGCCGTCTGAAAAATGTTTCTCGCTTTGAAAATCGGCAGAGATTGCTACAGTAGGGATGACGCAGCTGAATTGGGAGCTCTGGAGAGATCAAGAAGATCGAAGGCCCGCGCATCTCTCCGCGGAGGTAATACCGGTGTTTGTCCGGTTTGCATCACTGGCTATAGCCCGAATGGAACGGTTGGGACACTACAGAGTACACACTGAGAGAGATTTGATGAGAGATTAGAGCGACTAGCTGTCTCGTAATATGTACATGTCGGCGCCTGGCCGTCTGTAATTAGATTGATATACAATAAATCCTATCCAAAACCGAACACGTTGCTGGACTAGCCACTCGGTTCTGGAGCAGCTCTACCTGCGCTCGCGAGCTTGGCTGTTATCTTGGGGAAATATTGCGCAACAAAGCTTTCGCTAGAAACATTGTAAGCCATGTTATCAAGAGCAACTAAAAGAAACGAGGCTATTGCGGGAGCAAACTTACGTATAGTAACTGTGGGCAGAGCTATGGTCTCCCACCAGGTTATGGGCCAGTTCGTGGCATAGGATCACCCACCAGTATACAAGTGCATCTGCTCGGTCGGCAGTCGGGTTTGCAAGCAGTTGCTTCTCGTGAAGCTGTTGGAAGTAGAAGTAATTGCAGAATACACTGCCCGCCCGGTTAAAGGCGATCGTTTTGCCCCCAGGATCATAGAAGATACTGAGGATGTCTGACCGGAGCGAGAATACCCCAGCACAATCCATTAACATCGAAGCAAAGACATTAATGCCGACGCTATTCTTGGCTAAGAATTGACTGCGATCCGGGAGGTTCTTCACAAATAATACGTGAATCCCACAGGCAAGTGTCGCGACAAACTCTAGATCATGACTGGGCTTTTCGTCACAGTAGGACTTCTTCTCGGTGATCTGGTTCGTCTCAGGCCGGCTATAAACATCAGAAGATCCATGGGGCCGACACGCCTGGATGGCGGAGAGCAGCTCCGACTGAAGTCGATGGGGTGAATTGACAGTGACAGGAGCTTCCGAGCGAGTCTTCTGCTGAGGATCTTCAGCAGAGTAAGGCGGGGGAGGGGTGGCAGTCTCTGAGGATTCAGAGCGGGAGGGCTGAGATGACTCTCCGTTGACAGCATTGAAGGGCGATCGATTGCCCTCGAGCCCAAACCGCTTGGAGAGGTTGGCGAAGAACCCGCGTGGTCGGCGATCTTGGGTTTGGTCAGGTGTGTCCGGCTGGATGTCACGGGTGCTGTTCTTGCCCGACGGCGAGTCAGGGAAGTCTCCCGGCATTAACTGCTCTCGCTCGTCTTGAACTTGATGAGGTTGTGCTTGTATCTGAGCTTGTTCCTTGGCCCACGCAGCTTCTCTCTCTTGCAGACGTTGACGCTCTTCTTCCAACTGCTTCTGCCGCCTGTCCTCTGCCATCCTGGCTTCGTGTGCCTTTTGTTTAAGGATACGCTCCACGTTGTACCCGCGAGCCTTGAGTTCCAGCAGATCAGTCTTTAGCAGCATCTCCAAGGTAAGGGTTGAATGGAGCTTCGGCCGAACAAGGATTAGGTGGACCAGAGCCTGGCTGATCTCGTAAAGATCATACTTGCCCGGGCAGATCCACAAGAGCCAGTCTCTTCCCTGTTGAGTGATGATTGCGCTTCGTTTTTGCGTGTGGGATATCCGACGACCCTTGAGAGAGCGAGTTAGGGAGATGGAATGCACCACCTGCACTTGCAAATGCTTCTCTAGCCACCGCACATCATGCCGGATCAGATCAGGAGACTGGTCATGTAAGAACAGCCGCGAGCGTTCACTGATCAGCTTTTGCAACTTGGCGGCTGGACGTTGGTCAGCAGCTACAGCGCCCCAGTGAGCACGCTCTTCGACAAGGCCGCTCAGCGGTTGAGCCCCCAGAGACTGATAGAAGTTCTCTAGCATTTCTTCCTGAGGCGCTGCGAGTATATGCTCCTTGAAAAGATTGAAGCTCTGGAAATCATCCACCACGACTGCGTCCTTCGCAACAGTCAAAGTCCATTCCTTAATGCTTTGATCTTCCTCATCGTCAGACAGGTGATCATCCTTGGCAGCTTGCTCCTGTGCCAGGGAAGTGATATCCCTGCTTGCGAGCAGGAAGGCCGACCTCTTCATTTCCTGAAACAGTTCGCGGTCCTTCTTCAAGGTTGAGACATGCTCGGCAAGTGTCCTCAGCAGTTTGAGATATTTGTCAGCACTTTGGAAAGAGGCTGATATCCTTGCTGGTTCTTTTACAAGCATGCGTGCAATCTCCACCTTAGTGGGCTCACGTTTGGATCCGACGGCCATGAGAAAAAGGTTCGCCTCTTGACCAAAGTCGACGAAATCGAAAATGTCTTTGTAATCCTCACCGTCACCAAGATAACAAAGTCTGGGTGCTACACGACGCACAACTTTCTTTTCCATCTCATCTTGCGTAGTCGAGACGGGGACTACCTGCGCACCGCCAACACGATCTATATCCCGCCCACTCAGTTCTGACACCCTCCCGGCTAGATACTTGAATACGACCCTTGCGTCACGCTTCGTGGACGGTGGCTGACGCATGAGGCAATCGATGCATTCGCTCAGTGCGGGATGTTGTTTAACCCCAAACTTGGAAGCATGAGGATGCAGATCCGTGCGAAGGATTGCGAACCCAAACAAGGTGGCACCATCATCAGTGAAGCACTTACTCGGAACAGTCAAACCCTGCGATCCTTCGACGGGCAAGAACGGAACAGCCACTGTACCGCAGTCGAACATCGCATAGCCACTTGTATGAAACTCGGCGATGTAGTATGACATCGCTTTTGTATGGAGAACCCAATTACCATCCGCGGCTGCCTGGGCCATGATTTGGATAAGCTCAGACGCTGACGGGAAACTCCTGAGTCCCAACATTGACAGAAACCTTCCTTCGTTGCTACTGGGCTGATACCGACCTGGCCATTCAATGATAGGCAAACCCAGTGCCCTGAGCGAGTCCTTCGGTTCGAACAACTCAAATATCTTATAGCGCTTGCGATTCGCTGCTTTAAGATCACCATTTCCACTGCCGTCAATCTGTTCGGCAGTGCATAAGCTGGTGTTTTTGAGTCGTTTGATATCATTCGCAGGGATATCATCGCGCACGGAAGCTAGATATCGTATCAAGTCGACGTGACTCCATTTCCTCTGGTTATTGTTAGGACCATCGGGTGCTTCCGTGGTATCGAGGAGACGCTCGAAGATGACACCGAGTTCGACAGTCTTACGAACGCCAAGCGCTGCCAGAAATTTCTCTTTAACTCCATTTAGGCCATGTATGACGGGAAGGTCATCAAACAAGCGGA